GACTCATAGGGCCCCTCGCTGTCAGAGTCTGGTGGCAGCTCCAACGGCTCCTGCTGGGCCACAACAGGTTTCCTATTGGTTGTCATTCATTAACTGCCCTATTCCTACAAAATATGAAATTCAGCCCTCGAAACTGAAGAATTGGCAACCTCTACACTAAAATTAATAGTTACCTTCAGTAACAATATTTTTCTATCCCGCTATTTTCTAGTTTTCCTTCAACTTTTTAATCTACTCTGATTCACCCATTGTTGTTTTATTCCTTCCTATTTACTTTGCTTATTTCCCCATTTCGATGCCACAGGATACGCTGGGAGGGAGATTTGATGCGACTCAGGCCTTTGTTGGGGAAATTTCTCAGTTCAACATGTGGGATCGTGTCCTGACGCCAGCAGAGATCGTAGGTCTGGCCAACTGCACCAGCCAGCTGCAAGGCAACGTAGCCCAGTGGGATGAGAAGTTGGTTGAAGTCCATGGAGGGGCAGCCAAATTAAGTTTTGAGATCTGCGAGGCAAAAATGAAGGCATGAAGGTCTTTCGTTCCTGCCACAAGAAAGGAGCATACAAGCCCAATTTCCTTCTTTCAATCTGCTTTGGGAAAGAAGGAACAACAGTTCCTTTCTCCCATCCAGCAACTTCTTACATTCGGCCTGGAGAGGGGGAAGTTGTGCTTGTGTGCGTGCGTGAGTGTGTGTGTGTGTTTGAGAAAGAGAGCATGTGTATGCAAGGAAGCCTTCTAAACTTAAAAATGAAATTAAGACACTATTTTTCATTGTTTAAGTAAAATATTTTTAAATTCATTCTGTGAGTGACTAGACATTCCACTAAGAAAGCTAAAGTAGTTGGAAAGTAGCCAATCTCTGAAGAGCAGTATGAGGAAGGATAAAAACTGTATCATTGAGTAGGAAATTGTTGGCAGAACTAACATCTCCAACATTTCCAGTCTGTCCCATTGCTGATAGTTTCAGTGATGAAACTTGAACTCTGTTGATTGGGATTGTAAAAGCATTAAAGCACTCTTGTTGACATTTGCCCACTATAAGCCATTGACCATCTAGAATACACAACCCAATATTCTTCTAGTATCTGCATGTCCTCACCAGGATGTTCAGCTGTTTTATCTTTCTTCTAGCTTTAGTTCGTAGTCTTCCTTGTAAAGCGTCACTAAGCAAAAAGTGCCAGCAGTTTCCTTAACTTCACAAAGGCCTATGTTTGATGTTCAATTTTTTTTTTAACACCAGAGGCATCATTTCCCTAATCGGTTACTTGAATTCCTGTGTTGCCCTGCCAATCTTTTTTTTGTTTCTCTAGATTATATATTTTCAAACTCTTTTTTAAACCTTTCTTATAAGCCATAATGACAGATTTTAAGAAGGACAAGTTCTAAGTGGTAGGCATGGAATAGGAGCAGTCTTGGTCAAGCCTTTTTTCTACCCCAGTTTTCCCTTTCATTGTTGCCTTTCCCTCCTAAGGGCTGACTCTCACAAGCTTGGCTCATTTTGTTGATCATCATCAGTGACTTGCAGCTGATTGTGTGTGAATCGTGTTCATTAAAAAGCATTGTGTCTGAAGTGATGTGGTGTGTGATGTGGTACGATATGAAAACTTTTGTTATGCTCTATGATAGCTTTTTTATCCATGCATTCTCCTTCTCCTCTTCCTATGAATTTCAGCGATTCCTATGAATTTCAAAGATTCATCTGCAAAAGTCATTCTTACTGTAGGATTCTGAGAGTTGAGATCTATGTACCTGAATAATGCCCAAGTTGAAGAAAGTTGGCCAAACTATTTGACTGGTTGAATTGTTGATTCCTGACAAATAGAAACCTGTCGGGAAATAACATTTTGAGACCACACAAAAGCCAATATAATGGTTAGGGTCTAACAATCTGATCCTGCCACCCAAAAACATCACCACAAAAAGTCATACATCACTGCACACATTTCAATAAATATATCACATCCTGCAAAACTCTGTAAACTGCAGAGGAACACAATAGGCAAGGCAGTGCAGTTGAGAAAGGGAGACTGTTGATCAAGGAAATGAATTCATTTACTATAATTTACATATCAGCCCAAGACAGAGAGATTCTCCACATTTTACTGAGAGGTTCTGCTGCAGTGATGTCATTGCTATTTGTCTTATCCCCAATGCATACTAGATGTTTCAGTATGCATCCTCTTCCGCTGCATTATTAGCTCACAGATTTGTGGATAAACTTATAAGTGTGTCACTGAAAATACGGTTGTGTGTCTTACTTGACAGACAGCCCCTTAGTTAAAGGAGCTTTTGGAAATCAAATGCAGATGGGTTGTATTTTCGTAGTCAAGGCATGCACCTATCATGGGGTTGGCATGCAAAGGCTACAGAGGGGACAGTTAATGTTTCATACTAAGGGAGTAAGATTTTCTGATTTCTCTTTGACTGGCAATTGAGACTTTAGGGTTTTGTTTTAATCCTTCCTTTTAAAGATGAATTAAAACTATGATAGGGCTTCTACTACAGTGTTTGGATTCTCCTGCTTTATTTATTTATTTATTTATTTATTTATTTATTTATTTATTTATTTATTTATTTATTTATTTATTTATTTATTTATTATTTATTTATTTATTT